ATATGTTATTTTGACGCTGGCGCCGCGGGCGGGTGCAAATATGGTATTTTGACGCTGTCGCGACGGGCGGGCGAGCGCGAATATGATATTCTGACGCTGGCGCGAATATGGTCTTTTGGCGTGGCGGGCGGGCGGGCGTAAATATGGTCTTACAGTGTTATGGCATTAGCGGGCGCGAAGATGGTGTTATGGCATTGGCGGGCGCGAAGATGGTGTTATGGCGGTGGCGGACTCGAACAAAGTCTTTTGTCATGGAGTTAAGGTCTTTTGTCATGAAGTTGGCGGACTCGTCCTTTTGCCATGGAGTTGGCGGAAGCAAATATGATTTTTGGCATGGCTTTGGTCTTGGCGTTGGCAGACGCAAATATGATCTTTGGCATGGCGTTGGTTGGCGTTGGCGGACGCAAACATGGGCATGTAGTTGGCGGGGTATTGGTGGCGCAAATATGCTCTTGGTGTAAATGAGACCATGGTCAACAAAAAGATGTGATTATAGCAGCTAACATTATGTTTGCAACAGACCAAATTTCCACCACATTATCAATGTTTTGAAAGGTGTGATTATGGTGTTGAAACGTGTTATTATGGTGATAGCGAATCACAAGAGTGGATTGGAATGATCCTCCTAAATAGCTTATTATTTATTTGTTTGTACGCGTTTTTTTATTTCTTATTTAGATAGAGAAATCACTAATTGTGAGTACGGCAACTCAACTGACTCTTGCATGGGAATGAACAGGGTTAAGCGATCTATTGTATATGTGGGATGTAAAAATGCATCGGTAGGGGAGAGTTCCACCTTAGAGGGAAGCACCGGCGCGAACGGTGGTGGACAAAGTAGAAGTGAGGATGTCGCCTTGAGTGACATAAACATCGGTGAGAATTCAATGCCTCGAAAACCTAAGGGTTCCTTTACAAGGTTCGTCCACAGAAGGTGAGTGTGTTCCGCCTCAGAGGAAAGCACCTGCACGAATAGTGGTGGACGAAGAAGAAGCGAGAATATCGGCTTCAGTAATATAAACATTGGTGAGAATCCAATGCCTCAAAAATCGAAGAGTTCCTCCACAAGGTTTGTCCAGTAAGTCAGAGCCTAAAACATAGAGTGAATATTTCTATATTTTCTCTCGTTGGTCTCAATGGACAAAGAAAAGGTATATTGATGGTGGTCTCCTTCCCTTCAACATGGTGTATTGTTTTTTTTTTGGACATCTTTAGGCTGGACTTCTGGCTTGTATCTCATTTGTTGTGTTGAAATGAATTAAAATAATTGAAATATCATTTTTTTTAAACAATATTATATAATAGTCAAATAATTTATTAATAATTAAGATAAGCATTTAATTTTTTAAAATAAAAATATTATATAATAGTCAAATAATTTATTAATTATTTTTTTTATATTTTAAATAGGATTGAGTTACTTTATATTTTAAATCTTATTGAAATTTTTTATTTTATTTGTATTACTAAAATTTATTATTTTATTTGTATTGGGTATGAGTGAATATAAAATTTTTGATTTCGTTATCGTGTAAAGTGTTATTGATTAATATTTTGATTGGTATGATTTAACTTTTTTTTTTTTTTTTTTCTTCAATTTAATTTAAATTTCAACTGATTTTTTTAGAAGTTCTATCAATTAAAAATAAATATAGTAACTAAAATAAATATAATATTTGGCTGGTCTGGTAAAAAAAATTATGATAGAGGTAAAATAATTTATTATTATTTTGTAGGTTAAATTGTATTGTATTATATTATTAGTAAAAGACAATACAATACAGGAGATCGATGGATTGATTTGATTTCTAATAATATACTTAATTATTGTTATTATTTTAAGCGTATTTTTAATTGTAAAGACAATATGATCCACTCCTTTTTTTAATTGTCCTTTACAATGAGACAATATGATCACGTGGTATGTACCACCTATTTTTAAAATATATATATTCCTATCATTATCAAGATTATTATTTAAAATTTTTATTTAAATATATATATATATATATATATATATATATATATATATTCTTACCATTCTCAAGGTTATTATTTTAAATTTTTATTTTTAAAATATATATATATTTTTACTATTTTCAAGATTATTATTTTAAATTTTTATTTTTAAAATATATATAAATTCCTACTATTCTCAATATTGATGAGACAGCGTTAATAATGGTATTTGAAGCGGTAGGTAATAGTGATGGAAGACATAGCACCCGACGTTATTAAACTCGTTGTATTTTTGTTTTTATTCAGTGATAGAAGACATAGCACCCCATGTTATTAAATCGTTGTATTTTTATTTTTATTCTATTTACACCATCAAAAGAAATCTTCTAATTTTAAAAACAATGTGAACAAACCTATATTTAAAAAATAGAAAAAAAAAATCAATTACTAATACAAATTTTAACCTATAATTATTTAAGAAATAGAAAACAAAAAAACCAATTACTCATACAAGTTTCAAACATCAATTTTACTGAATAATTAAATAAAGTTTATCTTTTCACCAGAATAAATTTTTTTTACTGCAGTTGGGTCGATTAAAACTATAAACATTTTGCACATCAAATAAAATTAATATATTTATTAGTATTTTATTTTAAAGAATAATGTATTGTATTACATAAAAGAATAATGTATGTATTGTATTACATAAATTAGTATAATTTAAGATATATATAGTAGAGCAATTAGGTGGAGAGTAGTGTGTACATTCAACTATTTAAACTTTTATTTCAAATGAAGTAATGAATTTTATATAATTTTTTTTATTGATATTTTCCTAATTCAAAAATCACTTTTTTTTTTTTCAGAAAAAAATAAAATTAAAAAAAATTCAATTGATATTTGTCATTTATCCTTTATATGAACTGGTTTCATTTCATATCAAAAAGCCTGATTGATTATGGAGTCAGCTTTCCATGTTCTCTTCTTTCCATTCATGGCCAAAGGCCACACCCTTCCTCTTCTTCACCTCATCCACCTCCTCCGCCGCCGCTTCCCCCACCTCTCCGTCACCCTCTTCACCACCGCCGCCAACCGTCCCTTCATCTCCCAGTTTCTCCTGGACTCCGACACCGATTCCATCTCCATCATCAACCTCTCTTTTCCCCAAAATGTCCCCGGCCTCCCCGCCGGAGTGGAATCCACCGACACCCTCCCTTCAATCTCCCTCTTCCCTGACCTTTGGGCCGCCACAGAGCTGATGCAACCCGAATTCGAAAAACAGCTCCAATCCCTACCTCATCCGGTCACTTTCTTAATCTCCGACATGTTCCTCTGGTGGACTGTCGAGTCTGCTTCCAAATTCGGCATTCCCCGAATCAACTTCAGCGGTATGTCAAATTTCAACCGCGCTATCTTAGGATCCATATATCAAAACAAACTCTTTGATGGAGTTAAGTCCTCTGACGAGCTGATTACCGTCACCGATTTTCCATGGGTGAAATTTGTCCTCGATGACCTCGATGAAGTTTTCTGGCACGCAGACCGTCGGACGAGCCTCCACTTTCAAGTGATAACGAAGTCAGTCCACGCAGCAACAAATAGCTACGGATTGATCGTGAATAGCTTTTATGAGCTGGAGTCTATGTTCTGCGATTACATAAGAAACAGGGAAATGGGTATGATTTGGAATATTGGACCGCTTTGTTTGGCCCAGACTTCCACCCAAAAACTTCAAACGCAGCAACCAAACAAAACCGGCACGTGGCTCGAATGGTTGGACGCAAAACTGAGGCGAGGAGAGCCGGTGTTGTACGTGGCGTTCGGTTCACAGGCGGAGATTTCGAGTGAACAAACGAAGGAGATAGAGATTGGGTTGGAGGAATCTGGAGTTAGCTTTTTGTGGGCAAGAAAAGACAAGGAAATAGGAGATGGGTTTGAAGAGAGGGTGAAAGAGAGGGGGATTGTGGTGAGGGAATGGGTGGATCAATGGGAGGTGTTAAACCATGGGAGTGTTAAAGGGTTTTTGAGTCACTGTGGTTGGAACTCAGTGGTGGAGAGTTTGAGCTGTGGAGTGCCGGTTCTTGCTTTTCCGTTAATGGCGGATCAAGCCATGAACGCAAGGATGGTGGTGGATGAGTTGAGAGCGGGGATGAGGACAGCGGAGTGTGAAGGGTTGGTGAAGGGGTTTGTGAAAGGGAAGGGCTTACAGAGATTGGTGAGAGAGTTAATGGAGGGAGAGAAGGGGAAGGAGGTGAGGAAGAGAGCAATGGAGATTTCAGCAATGGCGAAGAAAGCCATGGCGGAGAATGGGTCGTCGTGGAGGGATTTAGAACAACTGGTTCAGGAGATGTGCAGCAACAAATTACCATTACCACATACGGTTTTGGCAGCACCCAGTGGAGATGGAATAAATAATGTTCATTAAATATTTCCCACCAACTATGTATTTCATTTGACTAAATGAAAATAATGGGGCACGTGTTCCCTTTCACTCCATCATGGATCCGTCTCGGCCACAGATACAGACCCCCCAAACTTTATGATATTGCATTAGAAAAAGATACCTTTCATAAGAAAAGAAAAATATTTGTTAAGTGGGTCAACTAACTATTGTACCATTCGTGGAAGTTTATGCAGAATTCTCAAATCTCAAATAAAAAAAGTTAGAAAGTTAGATAATTAAAAGTATCTTTTTAAGGGTAGAATAAATAATGTATTTTGTTTGAAGATTCTAAAGAAGGAATCAACCTCAATTAAGGTAGATAGTTTGTGCCTCTTCTATAGGCCTTTAAGGAAGTTCTATGGTCCCATGTATTGTATTGACTAATTAAGGAAATAATCATCAATTTATAAACCTGGAATAAAAGTCTACATTATTACGAGATATTCATGGGTTTGAGGCATTTTAGAGAAATAAAAAATAAAGTCATGAAAATTTTATGTTCAAAGTGGATGTACCATATACTATCGTAGAGACCCGTGATTACTATCAAGTACGAACAAGTGGCACTAAAGAAACAAATAGCACAAAGATTAAAATGAAAAAATTGAACTGAGATTCAAAGAGTAAAGCAGAGCAGACGCAATACAATTGCTTATACCGCAAGAAAACCATTCAATTCGTTTGTCTGCCTGCTTCGAAATCGCCAAACCTCAATTAAAGTCGATCCCTAATCTGAAACTTTGAAAATTGAGCAAATATTTTTCAAACATTATTTTAGCTTTGAATTTCAAGATAATGACACGCCAGACCAAACCAACCCAAAACCCATTTTTCTATAAGCTTGAACAAGAGATACTTCCGAGGAGGAGGAAGAAGAAGAAGAAAATTGAAGAAAAATGACATTTGCAGAACTATTTACCCGTGTTGGATCGATAATTGGAAGTTTGGTGTTCGTCTGGGCATTATTTCAGCAGTATTTCCCAGTTGAGCTTCGTGCCTGTTTCGAGAAATATTCTCATAGATTTGTCAGTTTCTTTTATCCCTTCGTTCAAATCACCTTCAATGAGTTCACCGGCGAAGGTTTCACCCGCAGTGAAGCCTACATCGCCATTCAAAATTACCTCTCCAGAAACTCCTCGTCGCAAGCCAAACGCCTCAAGGCTGATTCCATGAAGAACAACCAGTCTCTGGTGCTCACCATGGACGACCACGAAGAAATTGCAGAACAATACGAAGGGGTAAAGCTATGGTGGTCTTCAGGGAGAAATATTTCCAAGTCCCAGACGATTTCATTCCACCCAGCGACAGAGGATAAAAGGTTTTTTATGCTCACTTTCCATAGAAGGCACAGAGATTTCATCATCGGTCAGTATTTGAACCATGTACTCAAAGAGGGGAAGGCTATTAAGGTCAAGAACAGGCAACGGAAACTTTTCACGAACCAAGACGCCCAATGGAGCCACGTTGTGTTCGAACATCCAGCAACGTTCCGGACATTGGCGATGAAGCCAGAAAAGAAGAAGGAGATAATGGAAGACCTAATCGCGTTTAGCCAGGCGGAGGAATTTTACAAAGAAATCGGTAGGGCTTGGAAAAGGGGATATCTCCTGTACGGTCCACCAGGAACTGGAAAATCAACGATGATAGCGGCGATGGCGAATCTCTTAGGGTACGATATTTACGACCTGGAATTAACTTCCGTCAGAAACAACATCGAATTGAGACGATTACTAACCGAAATTTCAAGCAAAGCCGTGGTAGTAATCGAGGACATTGATTGTTCCCTCGATCTAACAGGCCAGAGAACGAACAAAAACGACAGAGGACGAACAGAGATAGACAAGGATCCAATGAAAAGAATGATCATGAAAGAAATGAACGATAAAAACCCTAGCGAGGTGACGCTTTCGGGGCTTTTGAACTTCATAGACGGACTCTGGTCGGCATGTGGAGGAGAACGACTGATCGTCTTCACAACAAACTACATCGAAAAACTTGATCCAGCGCTTATTCGGAAAGGGAGAATGGACAAGCATATAGAAATGTCGTTCTGCGGATTTGAAGCGTTCAAAGTACTGGCAAAGAATTACCTGAAAATTGAATCACATCCGCTGTTTCCGAAGATTGAGAAACTCATCGGCAAAACGAGAATAACTCCGGCGGATGTGGCGGAGCATTTGATGCCGAAGGCAGTTTCCGGTGACCCTAGAGATTGCCTGGAGAGTCTGATGGAAGCTCTAGAAGGGCTGAAAGAAGAAGAAGAAGAGAGAGTGAAAACAGAGCAAATACAGAAAATCGAGGAACAGAGTAAATATGCTAAAGAAGATTAGTTAAAATCTTTTGTGGGTAAAATAAGAATAAAGAGTAAATAAATATTATAATATCAGCTGATTATATGGATGTTTTAGAATTATTTTTAATAAACTTCTTATTACACATGCTAAACTCATATTCAAATATATATATTATTTAGTAGAAAATTCATATCCAAATTAATGCAAAGCACAATATTAAAATAATAAATATGTACTATATTTTTATTAAAAAAATGAAAAATAAAAATATTTTTCTGAATAATATTAAATGAGATATCTGACTTTTATTTTTGTAATAACTGTGAATCCTATGATGGAGAATTAAATCTTTGCAATTAATTTTTCAATTTAATTTAAAATCAAGTAAAAAATGGAAAGAATACTTTTAACTTCCAAAAATATATTTATATATTTATCATTACCGGTTTCAAAAAAATACTCATCAATTTACAAAAGTAACATTATAAAGTTTGGAAATAACTCCGATAATTTTCGTCCATGAACATAAAAATAAATTAAAATTTTTTATTAAAAATAAAAGAGTGATTATTTTTTATTAACAATATATATTTTTTTGAAATGTTTTAAATATTTTTTAAATAAAAGGTAAAAATTAGGGGTATTTTTGAAATTGGAAAGATGGTAGGTTAAAATATTAAATATTTGAATGCGGTAAAATTTTGGTTAGAAAATACGGAGTTTGAAACGGCTTCCGAGAAACAGCCCACTGGTTCTCATCTCTCATTCGTTGTCTTCACAGTTGAATTTTCGTAATAAATTCAAATCCATTTATTTATTTTATTTTTCTTTCCCTTCTCGTACACGGAAGAACCCTCGAGTTGAATCTTTTCTTCTTCCTTTCTCCCATTTGATTCCGGAGAAACGATTATGGATTCCCGACGGTTCCTCGCATTTTCTCTCTTCTTTCTGTCCGTCTCTACTGGCTTCGCTCGCTTGCCGGAAACGCACAAGAAATTGTACGATCCTTTTCGTGTTCTTCTCGCTCTTCGTTTTTTATTTCACGAATCTTCTGACCTATGGTTTTGGATTCAATGTTTTCGAATATCAGAAGTGGATCTGTGCTTGAATTGAAGAGGGATTCGCCACGGCTCATTTTCGATCCAACACGAGTCACTCAGCTCTCCTGGCAACCCAGGTATTCTGTCTTCCTCTCTTATGCGATCGAATGCGATGTTCATTTACTTTCTCAGAAGGAAAGCAAATCCTTCCTAACACTTTCAAACCTCAATTTCTCAGAAGGAAAGCAAATCCTTCATTTACTTTGTTTATATTCTTATGAAAAGTGCAAATCTACAGGGCATTTTTGTATAAGGGATTTTTAACTGATCAGGAATGTGATCATCTAATCGATCTGGTAAGTGACTTATGGAACGGTATGTTTGTTTTAATTTAGATTTTTCAATAATGTGGTAATTCTATGGGTTTGTTTGATTTTATTATTTTCGGGAATAGGCCAAGGATAAATTAGAGAAGTCAATGGTAGCAGATAATGAGTCTGGTAAGAGTGTAAGTAGTGAAGTACGAACGAGTTCTGGCATGTTCCTCCGGAAGGCCCAGGTGCGTCAGTTTATTTGAATCATCCTTTTTGTGTTGGGCTTTTTAGATTTATATTATTCTTTGCAAATTACAGCGCCTGGATCCTTATAATGTCTGGCTTTTTGTACTTATTTTTATTTTATCTTATGTGGAAGATTGATATCTATGTTATCTTATGTAAAAGATCGAGGTATCACGGCAGATCCTTGTAGAATTAGGTGAGAAGGATAACTGTAGATGTCAATATATGGAATTACGAATGTGTTATCCAGTATCTTGGTATCGATAAACATTCTAAGAAAAAAAAGTTCTTAGAAAACTGCGAACTTGTATAAATAATTTGACTGTGAGTAATATCTGTTTAAGACAGAGATATATGTCTGAATATAAATGACCCAATTTGTTTGCCTAATGGAGTCTAGTCGTTGCCCAAATGTAGTTTGACCTATGCCCTGTGTTGGGGGTGTTGTTTTGAGGAGAATTATCTGCATCCCTGCTCATTAACGCGTTGTCAGCAGTATCCTTTGTTTATATACCATGAGGAAGTATCCTTCTGCTTTCTCTCCTATCCATTCTGTTGGTGTTCGATGTTGAAGTTAATGACATTTTTCTTCCTTTGAAATGGGTGCATAATCTTGATATTTATTTGCCCCCACTTTTCCTCAAGTATGATTTAGTGGGGTGCGATCATGGACAGAACCTGCAAATCTCAATTTAGAAGAGTAGTAGGGTGACAATCTAGTGTTCGAGGACCTGGTTTCTGTTTGTCTTTATAGAACATGGTTTCCTTCGTGAATAAAACACAAGTAGAAGATATATTGAGGTTTCAAATCTATACACCTAGTGAAATGACCAGAAGAGCTATACCAAATTGTTATATTCTTAAATATAGAATGGTTGTTTTAATGCCTATGCACCGCTAGTTGGTTAGTTACGACCCATTACTAATTTTACCACCAAGATTAAAGAAACATGGATGACAAGTAAAGATTAAGTTGATTCTATTAGTGATAATATAGATTAATGATATTGAAAATGATGTTTCCAACAGTTAGTGAAGAAAGTTACTGTTAATTGATAGACTTGTTTTACATATCAACACTTTCATACTTTAATCATGGATCATGCTTGCAAATCGCCTTGAAGCTTAATTATAATGTATATACTTTATTTTGTGCTTTGAAGGATGAAATTGTTGCTGGCATTGAGGCCAGGATTTCTGCATGGACATTCCTTCCAGTAGGTATATTTGTTATATGCTCCTTGTCATTCATGTACTTTTTTGTCATTCAGATATAAAGCTATTACAATCACTTACCTTTCTTTCTTGAAACTCCGTTGTTAAAATCAGAAAATGGAGAGTCCATTCAAATTCTTCACTACGAAAATGGCCAAAAGTATGAACCACATTTTGATTTTTTTCACGACAAGGTGAATCAGGAGCTAGGTGGCCACCGAATAGCCACAGTCTTGATGTATCTATCCAATGTTGAAAAGGGTGGAGAAACCATCTTTCCAAATTCAGCGGTATGGCAGTGGCTCTGCCACTTCAATATGCCTTTGTTTTTCGAAAAAAACGGAATCATATTTTCTTTTTGTAGCTAACTGTGACAACGTTGTCTTCTGCAGTTTGAATCTCAAGAAAAGGATGACAGCTGGTCTGATTGTGCTCGAAAGGGTTATGCAGGTAGATATTTGTTATCGACTCATTTTTATGAGTATATATCACGAGTAATTAGTGTATTATGTTACATTTTCAATTTAGAAAAGGCCATGGATGGCCTATCTATCATTGCTAGACCTTTCCTGAAAGTATCTTTCTTGAACATGATCTTCCTTTCTGGTCTTTGAGAAAGGGTACTCGTGGCCGGCTATGTATCTTATGGGGAGCCAACTTGATTTGACCCTTTGTTATGACTGCATCATTGATTCGTCATTATAGCCTGTTTTTTAAAAAAAATTGCTCGTCCGATTAGTTTGAAATGTTAGCAGAAATTGTTGTTTCTCGACTTTTTCGTTGCTTCTATTTTTGTGGTCCTTGTATCTTAGCATCTGGGATTGATATTGTACGCCACTTATGGTTCTACAACATGCCTGTTCATTTGTAGTTAAAGCGCAGAAGGGTGATGCATTGCTGTTCTTCAGCCTCCATCTCGATGCAACAACAGATAAAAGAAGCTTGCACGGTAGTTGCCCTGTGATCGAGGGCGAGAAATGGTCTGCAACCAAGTGGATTCATGTGAGATCCTTCGATAAGGCAACTCGGATAAGTAGTCAGGACTGTGTGGATGAGAACAAAAATTGCCCATCATGGGCAAAAAGGGGTGAGTGCCAAAAGAACCCTACTTATATGGTGGGTTCTGAAGGTGCAGTAGGATACTGTAGGAAGAGTTGCAAAGCGTGTTAAACTTAACCTATAGGAATATGTCCACGTCTCTCTCTCTCTCTCTCTCTCACCCGTTTTGCAGAGCTGAGTGTTGATTCTCTGATGGTTATGTATATAACATCGGGCAGTAACTGGGTATACGATACAAGTGGATATTACATATCTTTGATTAAACCTTGTAGTAGCAATTAGCCAAGTGTTTCATTTGGTAATCCAGACTCTGATGGGAAAATTTTCTCTTGATGCTATTGGAACTTTACAAGTGATATATTTTTCGCGTCTTACATGAAATAACCTTTTAGGATTTTACAAACGATTCTTTTGTTTGACATTTTAAAAAATTTATAATTTTATTAGACATAAAATTGAAACAGGACATTTCTTCTTTTATTTATATTGGCGTCAGGATAGCTGGCCTTGGCCTTGACGAGGGCTTAGAACCTTTGTCAAATTGGGTTAGAGATTTCAAGTTTGAATCTACAAATGAGGACTTGAGGACTTGAGAATGTGAAATCAATTTCCTATTATAAATCTATGGTTAAGCTTTTAGGTAACAATTTATGGTTAAGCTTTTAGGCAAGAAATTGTTGCGATTATAAATTTATGGCTAAATTTTGAAAACTAAGTAATTTCTTTTTTTTAAAAAAAAAAAATTTTCTTTTTGATATTTGACTATGAATTTAAATTTAAGAAAGATAAAATTATGAAATAATTAAGATAAAACATCCTAATTTAAAAACATATATGAGTGATTAAACAACAATAATAATTTGAAAAATTATTCTTCGGGCACCATAGTTCTTTTAACTTAACAATGATAACTTTTACTTACATAAAAATATAAAAAAAATTATAAAATAGCATAATTTTATAGTGAGTGACAAGTACATTTTGAAAGTCAAAGGTTCAGATCTTCATACTTCACCTATATACAAATCAATAGTATAGTACACGTCCAACTCACTCAACAACCATTGCTTACCATTCTTACCAAATTCAGCGCACCGCCCCAAGCCAAGACTAATTAACCACAACCCAACAAAATATGTCACTAAAATGTCATTGTATTAGCGATCACTGATAACTGATATAACAAAATTTTACATTAACCTGTTTGTAAAATAATTTATAATATCTGAGCTAGATAAGCTATTTTGTTAAAAAGCCCCAAATTAATCTCCACATTGGATATTTTGATGAACAAACAGCATCTAAATCCATGATCAAAACTTGATGTTTGAGGATAGAATTTGCAGAACACAGTCAAAAAGCAAAAGGAGAAAAAGAATGCATTTATGTTTTTGGCAACTTGCTCGGAATTTCAGTTGCTATTGCTGTAACTTTTGACTTGAATTCTGTCGAGCAGTATTTATTCACCAAATTTGAATTCATCCAATTTGCCCACAGCTTCCAAATCTGTTGATCCACTAGAAATAAGGAATATGGTGCTTCGACCTTCCTTTTTATGGTATTCATCCAATCCGTATAGAGAAGAATTATCTATCCTTAAAGAATTACCAGGAACGAAAGAATAGTTGTACAAGATCTACAAAACAAATAGCAGAGTATTATACATTATATGCCAAAATGGGTTGCACACTACTGCGAACCCCGCTAATCTTCTATTTACTCAACGGCAATGCGGTTATTTCTGAGTTTTCATATCCAAAACCAACAAAGGGTTGATGCACTTAAATGCCTAATGACTGATAATTGGAGTAGTCGATTTCGTTTAGCCGAATGCAACATAACATGTGTTCCGGCAAGTCTTCTGCCTTGTTTCCCTGTTTGAATGTTAGAATACGACATTAACAAATATTTTAGGCAGCTAATAAGAAATCATATCCTTTCTTCAGAAAGTTACCTGAATTGTCAAGCCAAAATCCAAGATACATAGCTTCAGTCTATCGTTAAGACTTTCAAAACCTTTTCTTGAGATGTAGCTAAATCTGTGGATGTCCAAATCGATTTCCAAGTATTTCTCCCCCTGCAGGATTTGAAACAAGAATGTGATTCTGTAAAGAGTTATGAACGTATCTGACATGGGGACCAGTCATTGTTTGTTGGAAGACGGAACCTTTCCTAGAAAAAAAGTAGGATGAGAGAGATCCGGCGTAAAGAAAGACTAGAACTTAGTGCGGAATTCCTATTAAATTATATCATGACTGACCAATGAGAGGTGTCCGAAAGAAACTTTAGTTATTCCAATCAAAACCCAAAAGTAATATTGTTATTATTTAGATCCATATCTTTCTATTAAAAAAAAGACAACTTTCGCAGCCTATTCATACAAAATTTAAAACATTCCAAGTTCCAAAAGTTCAGGATTAGATTGGCGAAGATAAGCACCACCATATCCACTTTCCTTCCCAAGAAAAGATTAGATTATATTTTTTCTTTTAAGACTTACTTTTCTTCAAAGATAAGCACGGAAGACCTTAGTTTTCTTTTCCATCTAAAAGCTAATAATCTAGCATCAAGAAGGTATTGGCAGTTCAAGTTATATGCGACATACTTATATTGCCATGAGAGTTCATTGTTCGATTTAGTAATGACGCTAACCAATAAAGCTAAAAGGTGTCTATGGCACTAGCGCCAACTATGTAAAACAATCCCTTCCCCACCTTAACTCAAAACCTAGTTTTTCTTTTACCTGCTGTAGAAAGGAAAAAATGTAGCAGTAAGTCATACATTGCAGCACCAACCATGTACAAAACATTTTCATAAACAAGAGCAATGCTTACCAAGTAAAACTCATGTTGAGGTCGTGAGAGGACAGGTTTTTCATTATACGCATTCATAAGCTTTTTCTCAGCTGCACTCAAATGAAGGTCCTCCACATTTTCCACTCGGCCCATAATTTTCAATCTTTCCCTGAATGGTACAATGTTATCCATAGGGAAACCTCTAACCCTTTCGACTTCATCATTAATTAATTTCTGTTAAGGAAAAAAGACCAATACGTCACATAATTTCTTCAAAAATATTTTTCCAACACAAGATCATGAAGGTTGAATACACAAAATTTTCTCTGAAAAGATTTATAGGACAAGATCCAGGAAATATATCTGTATGTAAAAGAGAAAACTGCAGGCGTGCAGTTTGAGATAACTTACAGTAAAATGTTCTTGGAAAGAATTTGGAAGTTCCTTTGAATAACTCTCGGATAGCTTAAAGTACATAACCACACTCATTCCTTCACCGTCATTTTCTCCTTGAAAGATTGTAGCAGAGTACAGTGGTACCTGGAACCAATGAAATACATCCAATAACTAAATATAATCTCATCATGTCCAAGGAGTTTAACAAACAGAAACTAGCTACCAACACATATACATGATATGAGGATATAGCGACAGACTGAACATCTATAATTCTTAATAACTATCAGGTACTTGGTAAATGCCGAGGGAAATTTTCTAATGAAATACTCTCTAGCATGGAGGAGGTTTTCGGCCAAAACACCAAGCGAGGATAAGGAATAAAAAATATAGACACCTGAACATTTACTACAAGAATAGAAGGGACATCTCCAGCTGGATTTATGGCCGGAAGTTCCACAAAACGGGCAATATGATCAATCTTTCTCTGAGAGAAGAAGACATCAGCTCCAATGGGATAATAGGCAGCACAATTTTGAGCAAACTCTTTCTTCTTATCTCTGTAAAGAAAAAAAAAAAATAGTGGATTTGGTTATGAATTTAGATTCATGGGTAAGTTGACAACTATTAAACTAAAAATTACAAGATGGTGTGAATAAGTATGATTGAAGGTAACAAACATTACATAGAGTTGCAAACGAGAAAAAAACGAGAGCACAGAACAAAAAATAGCTACTGAACGAAGAATAATTAAATCAGAAGCAAGTGCATGATTGAAAGTAAACAAATACCCAAATACAATGCAAAAACGAAAAGGGAAAAAAAAAAAAACAAAGGAAAAGGAAAAGACAAGGAAATAGCTCCAACGTAATGGGCTCACCTAAAATAGTTCTTCCCTCGGACTTTAAAAACACTGGGGTCAATAGGTGACCAACAATTGGGCATTCTCTTCCCTACTGGACAGTGCGGAACTGAAGTGCCAGCAATTGGTTTTTGTAAAGGTGCCCTCGGTGAAACTGGCCCAAAAAATTAAGACAAGTTTTAAACAAGCTTCACCCAGTTTCAAATTTCACAATTGGTGCTTATACAATTAAACATTTGGGAATGCACAAGAAAAATTGAGAAATTAGAGGAAGCACTCACATATCATCGGATCATTGTGTCCTTCCTTTAACTTAAATGAAAGTTTTGAAGATGCTTTTCTCCTTAGATTTGGAGTTCCTTGGTTGATTTGTCTCCTTTTTTCAAGTGAGGGTCCAGCAGCAGCCAGATATGGCAAACAAGTATTTGGAAGAAGGCCGCAGTTATTCCAATCAGCCCCCTCACCCCCTTTACCATTTTCACCCTCTGTGGGAACTTCATCTACAAAAATGGGGGTCAAATCATTTCTGCAATCACTAGATCTCTTAGCAAGAATTGTCGCAGTAGTTTCATTATGTTCCTTATTGTTTCGATGCTTTGGAGATGAAACACTTAATCTTGATGCGAACTCAGAGCCATTTAAAGACAACACATCTGCATTTATTTACAATCACATTAGTGATTTCTTGAATAATTTGTTACAGCATGACAGCGGCTAGTTATAACAATGAATCCCCTCCTCAACTCCTCTCCCTCCACACACAAAAAGATAGAAATATCTATCGCATCTATAACGGTTCAGTAATCATCAAATTGATGTTGATGAAGAAAAATACGCAGACCTACCATCACGAACGCTATAAAACTCGTCATCGAATTCCGAATCAAGGACTGAAGTAGAATCAAACCACGCCGCATCGACACTTCCTCTAGCTAGATCAAATAACATGAAAACAAGAAAAATAATGCGAATCAATTAACTTCCCGAAAAAAGAAATTATTATTGTTATCACATAATGTAGCTAATACGTGGCAGACTTCTGAAGAACATGCACCAAATCTGATCGCCGGCCTTTAAAAGAATCCAAGATCAGAAAAGTAAAGGAAAAGACAAAGAAAATTTAAAAAAAAAAAGAAAAAAAAAAAAAGAAAGATTAGAGAAAAGGGAAAGTGCATGTAAAAACCTGCACATGTAGGAGTAGAATGAGGGCGACTAGGTGTAGAAAGCGAATCAAGCTTCAGAGAGGAAATTCGCCGCTTGATACTTCTTCTTCTCCGCCTCCGATTCCTCCTCCCCGACGGAACCAGTCTTCCTCGGACGCAACCCTTCGGCTTCGAGCCGCAGAGTCCCATTTTCCGGTGGTCGGGGGGTTCCTCCTCCCCGTCGCTGAGTTGAGATCCACAGATCGGACAGAGAAACTTGAGAGAATCGCAATGCAGGTGGTATGAGTTTCAGAGTTTAGTGTGGATTCGTAATCAGAAGCGGAGCTCAGCGATGGGGACGAATCGCACACGCAATCCAATCCAGCGCTTTACTCGTTCACAATTATTAGTAGTCACATTCACGGTTGCATTACTCTTCCTTGGGTCCCACATGGCCCGTCATCCGACGGTCCACATTTGCTCAAACCCTAAGTAAAATCTACGCCACGTGTCATCATATCCGCAGCGGGATTTGTTTGAACACGTGGTTTTTCATTTTCTTTTAACTGTTTATTTAATACTCTACTTCTAATTATAATCCTTTTCTATTAAAGTTTGAATGCTGCCTTGTCTTTTTCTAATAAAATTAGTTGACATAATTACTAATGAATTAAGGATTAATTAATTATAATCATAACCATAATCACGTTTGATTTACCTATTTTTGCTGAACATTTTTGTGATTAGTTTTGCGGCTCTCTTTTGGATTCTTCCCGCTCGAGGAACCAGTAGTAATGGCCCGGATTTAACTTGTTGGGCTGTCCCAAACTTCGAGCCCATATATTTGGGCCAGGCCCATTTCTTTTGAAAGATTCGATGGATATTTTCCCTCTTAATTGAACCAGTGGTAATGGCCCGGATTTAACATGTTGGGCTGTCCAAAACTTCGAGCCCATATATTTGGGCCAGGCCAATTTTTTAGAAAGATTCGATGGATATTTTCCCTCTTAATTGAACCAGTGGTAATGGCCCGGATTTAACATGTTGGGCTGTCCAAAACTTCGAGCCCATATATTTGGGCCAGGCCCATTTGTTTTAGAAAGATTCGATGGATATTTTCCCTCTTAATTGAACCAGTGGTAATGGCCCGGATTTAACTTGTTGGGCTGTCCAGAACTTCGAGCCCATGTTTTTGGGCCAGGCCCATTTGTTTTAGAAAGATTCGATGGATATTTTCCCTCTTAATTTTATGGAGCTATCCGAAGTTTAGCGCAGAGCTTCGTTGATGGCGGTTTCTTCGTTCCCGGTTCTTTCTTCATTAGGTGCCCGTTCTAACATCTCTGTTCTAGACCGAGATTGTAGCTTGTTTTCGCTGAATATTCCACTCGTCAATATCTGTTCTAGACTGAGCACTCATCCGTCGTCTTCTACTATCGTTTGCTCGTACAGTGAGTTCTTGTTGTGAATTGTTGTAGAAATGGAAGTACGATTTTGTTGTATCCTTTATTTTGCTGTAATTGAGCTTTCAATTGTATGTTGGTTTCAGAATCTGAGAATTCCGTTAGTGAGCGGAGGAAGAAGTTATTGGAGCAGTATGGACTTGATCCTGACGAGTTTTTGTCTGAACCTTCTGCTAATGTTGGTTCTCCCTCTCTCTCTGATGGTTGATCTCTTTCATTTCTTTTCGAGCATGAATATTTTGGAGATGAGTGACTGACATTGTATTATTATTTGCTGGTGGAATTGTGCAATTGCACTATATTGGCTTCGGAAATGAGTGTTTGCAATTTTCTTCTTTATAATCGTTAATTTTCCTTACAGCGAGCACGAGAAATGCGAAAATCGGGAAAAGACAAGCAGATTTCAGGCCAGGATCCTAAATTTCAACGGAAGACCCATAAGTTACTTAAGGTACGAGTTGTGTTCCTTTTTCCATTTTGTTTGGTGCTTTGTGCTGAGATAATTCAACTCAGTCTACCCTTAGAAGTGACAATCATTCCCTGGCCTAACTTGGCGCTAATTTTCACTTTATATCTTCCAAAGTTGGGAAGACATCCTTCAGAGGGGATATCTCTTTCTTCCATAGAGATTTCTCCTTCAAAATTTCGAAATGAAGTGAAAGGGGAGAGAAATGCTTTTGTAATTTGATATTTGAGGCCTTTTGGTATTATAACTTTTCGTACCAGGGTGGATATGAACAAATGCTCTATTTGGATTAAAGACATTCCTTCTTAACTATCAATTTACACAAATTGGAAATCTATAATATTAGTTTAAATCTGCAAGTTGATGGAATTTCATTTGGATTTATTCCAGTCACATCTACACCAAGTTAATCATTTTGAATAGGTCAATTTGTCACATTGAAAACTAAAATACTAATTTTAGTCTGAAAGAACATTACGTCCGTTGCTAAAATTTATCACGTTGATGATCCCCATGGATCCTCCATTGCCTACACAGCACGTGTACCACTGATGTATGGGTAGTACATACATAAGATTCCTTGTTTTTCTATCAAAAACAACTCAATCAATATGTTGGCTACCTCAGGTGCTTGGTGGAAGTGCTCGGAGAATGAAGCTAATCTCACCAATAGGCTTGGATGTACGACCAATGATGGAAGTTGTGAAAGGTGCAGCTTTTGATATCTTGCAGGTTGGAGTTGTATTTTAAATACTAGTTTCTTTCACGTTACCAGATCGTTCTGCTAACTTACCAAATTATTCAGAGTTCGTATATTTCTAGGTCAAGTTGCTTGGGTAAGTTGCTGCTAGCCATCGACACAAAGAAAAGATCTAATGTAATTTGATAATGCAGGCTGCTGGTGGCTGTCCAGCATCTTTAAGGCCTGGTCGTTGGTTAGACTTGTATAGTGGTACCGGATCAGTTGGTATTGAAGCTATGAGCCGTGGATGTTCTGAGGTACCAGATAAATTGAGAATTTACTTTGGGATAACGTTTTCTAATTTTTAGAAATAACTAACTGATAAAGCCAGCTTTTCGAACTATGTTCAGATAGGGATTGGCTTGATAGACAAAACTATCAATGTCATAATATTCATTTCTCTACATCTCTCTTTTCTTCTCCTTCAACTTCCAGGTGCATTTTGTTGAGATGGATCCATGGGTTGTCTCTGACGTTTTAAGGCCGAATCTGGAATCTACTGGGTTTTTTGATGATTCAGTCATTCACACAATTCCAGTTGAGAATTTTATAGAACGAGCTGAGCAGCTTATTGGTATCTCATCTAAACTTTAGCTTTCTCCTTGTTTGTTTCATCCTAAGAAGTGTGGACACAAACATGGACATGGGGGTACGTTGTTTCTAACAAACTTAGGGTTAGTTTGGGATTGTTGTAGCTTTTAAAATAATTGTCGGCAATTGGGAGACAAAATCAAGTGTAACATGAAGTAATTTAGTGTTTGTTAAATATCAATTTTAAACATGATAAAACAAATTAGGTGCTTAGTAAACTAAGATTAAATTGTTTTGATTTAGATATAATGATTGAATTAGACGTATATTCTATATATTGATATTTTATAAGTTAAATTACATACATAGTGTTGGCTTACCAATTTAGTTTTTGAACTTTTAAATTTTTTCAAATTTACGTGCTACTCGACACAAAATTGAAAGTTTAGGGTTCCATTAGACATAAAATTAAACTTTATATTTAATAGATCAACTAAATTTTTTTAAAAAAAATTGAATTTGTTAGAGCCCTATTAGATACAAAATTGGAAATTTATGGACGGATTAGAATGTTCAAAGACCACCTAACTATAACCAATTAAATATCTAACTCATTATAAGTTAATTATATTAATTCTTATGATATAAATGGTGAGTTATTTTATTTAATTTAAATTATTTGATTAAACTTTTATGCTTCTTATGTTTATCATGTTAACATTATTTTAATTCGTGACATATTTAATATATTAAAAGGGAGATTAAGGGAGAGTAAAGGAGAATTGTATTTGAGAACATAATTGTTACTCTTGTTTAAGTGCCTGGCAAGTTTTTGATATGTCTAAAGTCGGAAAGTGAAGTATTCAATACATCAGTCATACGACACATATGTATTCTAGTTAAAGCCCTCATGCTTCGTAGTTTTATCTGATGAGAATGCTAAACATGCAATAATTTTAGTGTTTTTTCCTTTAAACCTGGTGTGTCTGATTAGACGGCAACAATAACTCGCCCGGAGGGGGAGAGGGGTGGGAGGGGATATTCATCTCGACAATTGAACTAAATTCAAAGTTTGAAGGGGATCAGTTTTATTTGATTTCAAAATATTTATATACAAAAATAAATGGTTGATTACAAATGGTTGACAGCTTCTATATACATAAGAGTTGTACCTGAATAGTCTTCTTTACAGCACTCTAATATGCAAATAAAACCGTGATTGAGGCTTAGAATGCACTATTGCAGGAGATACCATCCACGTACCGCTCTCAAAATGTGCAGCACCTAAATAATCAGTAAAATTAAACAAAATTTCTCCTTTTTTTTATTCGAAGAATAAATGGTACTGGAACCAATTTCTTATGGTATAGTTCATTTGAATGTATAAGCTTCTATAATTTATGATTTCAAAACTACCCAATCATTGATTACATTAGTCTTGTCTAGGTAATGATAGACCATTTGATTACATTAGTGTTACCCCACCGTACATACAAGTTGATTATGGGGTAGTCATGGAGCAACTATCAAAGTCAGCCTTAGTTGGAGAAGATACCTTCATCGTAAGTTGTATTTTCTTGTTCCTATTTAAGATATTTATTTACATATGGTTTACCTTCCTTTCTCTCACAAATCTTTGTGATAGGTTGTTGAATATCCATTGAAGACTGACATGCTGGATTCGTGTGGATGCCTTATTCAGGTAATTTAATCGTGCAGGTATTAACATTCTTAATGTTATGAATGAATAAAATCGTTAAATAGGATAAAATTGTATTTCAGCTGAAATCTGTTCACATAAATATAAAATATCTCTAGCCTGAGGGTAAGTGAGAAACTATGGGTATGGATCCTGGGAGATTATATTGTTTGTGATTGGGTGTCAAGTACAGTCTGTAACCAACGCCAAGGGTAATTTCTCAACAAGACACTTGAAAAGTATATATACAAGAACAGATCAAGGGTACGATATCTTACAAATTTCTGCTGTTGCTTTCGCTGTATTTTATGATGTCTGGACATGGGATCTGCATTTGATGAGAATTATTTAGGTTTTTACTCTTAATGTCTTTCTCTTTTGAGTTACAAATATAATTGTATCTAATTGCAGATTACTAAGCGACGGTTTGGTCGGACAGTCTTGGCGATTTATGGACCCAAGTGGGCTGAGAAGGAAAAAAGAAAAAAATAAGTTTACTTTATGAAGTTGCTAAAACTGCCGAGTGAGATCAGCCGGTGACATTGTTCTTGCTAACAGCCTAAACTCAAAGTGGTCGGAAAGCAACTTAGAAGAGCTGCATGCTTTTTCATCAAAAAACTTAGAAGAGCTGCATGCGTTAAAGTATTTCCTTCGTTCCATTTTGTTGGTAACTAGGAACTGAAGTATCCAGATGTTGGTACTACTTTTCTTGATTCTATTGGCCTCTTGCAAGTACAGGGTTCACGATATGTGTAATCTACAGCCACCTGCGCATTGTCCAGCTCTAGAATTTATATCCAAGCTTCATGATGTGCTTAAAGAAAGGAAGGCAGAGAATGTACCGCTATTTTGGGGTCTAAATTGATGAGTGACCTTGAGCAGTTGCCAAGTATACTTTACCACAGTAAGCGGAAGTATAACATGTAGTAGATTGTATTGGAACCTAAATATCTATTGCCGTCGACTTCTTTGGTTGATTCCAGCATATAAGTGCCAGTATGCCTATTCAGAATCATGAATTTTATGGACTTGTTGATCTCCAAGTTTACCCTTGTCATTCTTGTGCTACTTTATCTATTCCAAACTTCTGTTTTACTCAACCTATAGGAATCTTATCATATCTAATTTGATTTTGCAAAAGTTCTTAGGTTTTCTTTGCCTTTGCATAGCAAGGAAAATTGGAATCCTACACGTGGGGTTGATTTTTAAGTCTCCACTGTTGGTCAATAGGCGCAGGACATATCTATTTGGCTCTTGCAGGTTGCAGTTTAACAGAAAAGCCATGCTGAGTGAAACGGACATCATGGAGAAGTACAACCTTATGAAGGCAAAGAATTTGAAGGGGTGGTGGGTAAACTATGCCTGATATTTCACGTATGATATGATAGAGGAAAGACATTGGGAATTGATGTAGGAAGCTGTTGGGATCGACAAATCCTTCTCAACCTGCTTATTTTGGACAGAATTCTAACTGTGAATGTTCTTGTCATAACTTAATCGGTTCGAAATATGTGTACATGAATGCATATATAACACTCAATATGCCATGCCTAGAGAAAGAAGATACTTGAGAACATGCCAGGACTCTATTCATTTATAGGCCTCGAGTTTTCATTTGCTGTTAGTTTTGCTCTTCATTTTTTGGGATCCAATTACAGTTTTGTCTGTAATTTCTTTTATCATATTTTCTTCTTTTCTGTTTGCCACATGCTAGTGAATTTTTTCCAGGACCCTTTTGATGGATTCTGTGGATTGCAAAGCTCTAATCTTCATCCGTGAACGTGGCAAAGAGTCCTAACCAAGGGCCCCGTTCTCACATGATTAGAGTAATCAGAAACCTTAATCAGACACGCGGAGCTGCTTTACTCATGAAATTACAAGGGAAATGGTTCTTATGGGCATGAATTTACTTTGGTGCCTAGCTGATACTAGCTTCTCAGTCGAACGGCTTTGATTTTGCCTTAATTATTGCTTTGAGCCAGGGACTGTATCCATCAAGCTTATTTCATATTGTGTACAGTAGGCTTTGGACAGCACCACATGTAAACAAATTGTATTCTTCCTATTACATTGTTCTCTGATAGCAATGGTTTCCTTGGAATGATTTTTATCTTCATCATTTTTGTGGGTGCTGATGAAGTGCCAGACATCCAAAATCGACTGCCTCGATTTCCTTCAGGTTAGCAATCATTTCTCTGATAATTATACAGCATTTTTTGGACTAATTGGGATTAGCACCTTAGCTTCTTCATAGTCTAGTTGTGAAGATTTGGCTATGCCTCGTTTTTTTACAAGCATATTGTTAACTGTTAAGTGCTCATCAGAGTTTATGAGATATTAGGGCCCCCATTTCCCCTTTTGTAGCTATAGGAAAATGTAGAAGCTAAGGCAATGGAAGAGGAGCTGTTGGACACATTATTCCACAATATAAAGTGACATGAACAGCTACTTTTCCGCGTTTAAATCAGATTCCTTCTCTCTCTTCCCACGCGAACACAAAGTACAGTTTTACAGATACAGTCTATAAATACAAACAAAACAGCCTTACAACCCGCCAAGACCTCAGCCAACCCAATTAGCTTTCCATTTCTCTTCTTTCCTCTTTCTTAGTTCATAGCTATCCCTCTTCCCTTCCATACCCTGAAATGTCTGATTTTAGTCATTTCTGTGTTTCTGTTCTGAATGGATGATGATCTTGTTGGTCGGTTGGAAGCTGTTGTGAGATAAGGAAAAGGATTTAGGTGTGATGGTGAGTAACTGTAGGTTCTTAAAGTCTCTGTTTGGAGCTTTTCTCTTTCTTGGTGTCATCTGGTTTTCTTTTATTGGAGTGATTGATAATGCTAGCCCAGCATCCAGAAGAGCGACAGACGTGCAGTGGAAGATGATTGGAAGAGGGAAGCATGTCTTTCATTGGCATTCTGATTTTTATTCTGTCAGCAAGAGAAGAGTACCAAATGGACCTGATCCAATCCATAACAGGTACACAATTCTACTTGATCTAACTCACTATAACAACAGATATGTTTTGCTTATTTTCCTTTTCTTCTGGTCTTTGCAAGTATTGTCTTGTACCATTCCTTGTCCCTTTTCCTGTCTTTTAATCTTTTGTCTACTTAAATTTGGTGGGTTTTACGATTTTCTGTACAATTCTACAAAGAAATGCCTCGACTTTTTTAGAACAAGTCCGAGTCGCTGTTAATGTTCCATTTCTGGTATCATCTTGAGGACAGAAGTTTGACCATAGAATTGTCCCTAAAGAAAAGGCAAATTAACGCGTTTGAAGTTGACTGCCCAACTTCAATTAGAGGAAAGATAAATGGACTGAGTTTTATTTCTATTAGTAAATTTATGAACTGTTACTCCATTGCTTTAATCACTTCCAATTGTCTTTATGAGTTTCCTTCTGTACTGCAAATTGTATAGCACGGAACAGAATTTGGTCATTTGAAAGTAGTGTATTGCTCTGCCTCTAAGCAGTTTGCTCGCATTCTTTTCCTTCTTACTTTCTTTATTTGGCTGTAGCAATTTTAGTTGGTAAAAGAAATGCAGGAAACTATTTCAATTGAGATCTGTTGAAGTTGATGATAGACACTTTTTCTTTCAAAATAAAAAAGAACAAAAGTTCTTTTTTTTTTTTTTTTTTTTTTTTTTTT